CGTATACCGTATACCAGTAGTTTACGTACCATATAATATTTCGAATTTCGAAATGTGCTGAGGCTAAGAACCTCCGCAGCCCTGCTGCAGGAATCATACAATTCTCCAAAAGTACCAACCATCAATGCAGCAACAACATCAACTCTTGAATTGGACCTTCCATTCCACTCTTTGCCTTCGGCGGAACTCCGAGAAGCTCGCCGGCTTGCTGCAGAGTTCCTCAACCCTTGCCAAGCACCAAGCATCAATTCATGGACTGTATTTGCGTGTGGCTCAAAGTTCCGAAACCGTCCCAACGCCTCAAGCATCAAGCTTCAAGTCAATCAAATCAAGATTTCAACCCTCCACTATCTGCCTTCGGGCGAATTCCGAAACTCTCGCCGATTTGCTGCAGAAATCCTAAACCCTCCCGAAGCACCAAGCATCAGTTCTTCAACCCTCCACTATCTGCCTTCGGGCGAATTCCGAAACTCTCGCCGATTTGCTGCAGAAATCCTAAACCCTCCCGAAGCACCAAGCATCAGTTCTTCAACCCTCCACTATCTGCCTTCGGGCGAATTCCGAAACTCTCGCCGATTTGCTGCAGAAATCCTAAACCCACCCGAAGCACCAAGCATCAGTTCTTCAACCCTCCACTATCTGCCTTCGGGCGAATTCCGAAACTCTCGCCGATTTGCTGCAGAAATCCTAAACCCTCCCGAAGCACCAAGCATCAGTTCTTCAACCCTCCACTATCTGCCTTCGGGCGAATTCCGAAACTCTCGCCGATTTGCTGCAGAAATCCTAAACCCTCCCGAAGCACCAAGCATCAGTTCTTCAACCCTCCACTATCTGCCTTCGGGCGAATTCCGAAACTCTCGCCGATTTGCTGCAGAAATCCTAAACCCTCCAGAAGCACCAAGCATCAGTTCTTCAACCCTCCACTATCTGCCTTCGGGCGAATTCCGAAACTCTCGCCGATTTATTGCAGAAATCCTAAACCCTCCCAAAGCAGCGGGCACGCCTCGCAGAGCTTCTCTCAGCACTTCCAGGGCCTTCCCAGGCCTGCCAGGGCCTTCCCAGGCCTTCCCAGGCCTGCCAGGGCCTTCCCAGGCCTGTCAGGGCCTTCCCAGGCCTGCCAGGGCCTGCCTGGGCCTGCCAGGGCCTCCCCAGGCCTGGTTTCGCTTGATCATTTTAGAAGGCAATCCTGGGTTCTTTTGTAAATTTGAAATTTTGGTCTAGTCACTTCTAGTTTGTGCTTTTTCTTGTGCTCCAAATCGCAGAACAGTTGTGCATTTCTTGTGCTGGATTTTGGAGTTTGTGGTCGGGCTTGTGCTCACTTTAAAAAAACAGTTGTGGGTTTCTTGTGCTTTTTCTTGTGCTCTAGTTTGTGCTTTTTCTTGTGCTGGATTTTGGAGTTTGTGGTCGGGCTTGTGCTCACTTTAAAAAAACAGTTGTGGGTTTCTTGTGCTTTTTCTTGTGCTCTAGTTTGTGCTTTTTCTTGTGCTGGATTTTGGAGTTTGTGGTCGGGTTTGTGCTCCAGGTTAGCAAAACAGTTGTGGGTTTCTTGTGCTTCTTTTTGTGTTCTAGTTTGTGCTTTTTTTAATTAAAACTCAATAGGCTGCTTCCAGGGCCGCACTCCAGAGTCACTAGAATATTTTAGTTTGTGCTTTTTCTTGTGCTGGATTTTGGAGTTTGTGGTCGGGCTTGTGCTCACTTTAAAAAAACAGTTGTGGGTTTCTTGTGCTTTTTCTTGTGCTCTAGTTTGTGCTTTTTCTTGTGCTGGATTTTGGAGTTTGTGGTCGGGCTTGTGCTCACTTTAAAAAAACAGTTGTGGGTTTCTTGTGCTTTTTCTTGTGCTCTAGTTTGTGCTTTTTCTTGTGCTGGATTTTGGAGTTTGTGGTCGGGCTTGTGCTCCAGTTTTGCAAAACAGTTGTGCGTTTCTTGTGCTCAACTTTGCGTTCTAGTTTGGAGGTTTTTGGGCAAACTGCTGGCCGGATCCAAAATTTGAGCAAAGTAGTTTGGAGTTTTCGGGGCGGGCCTGGCCTGGCCAGATAGCACCCTGGCTCCGCCTGGCCTGACCGACAGCAGAATTCAGTTCCTCCACCCTCCACTATCTGCCTTCGGGCGAATTCCGAAACTCTCGCCGATTTGCTACAGAAATCCTAAACCCTCCATAAGCACCAAGCATCAGTTTTTCAACCCTCCACTATCTGCCTTCGGGCGAATTCCGAAACTCTCGCCGATTTGCTGCAGAAATCCTAAACCCTCCCGAAGCACCAAGCATCAGTTCTTCAACCCTCCACTATCTGCCTTCGGGCGAATTCCGAAACTCTCGCCGATTTGCTGCAGAAATCCTAAACCCTCCCGAAGCACCAAGCATCAGTTCTTCAACCCTCCACTATCTGCCTTCGGGCGAATTCCGAAACTCTCGCCGATTTGCTGCAGAAATCCTAAACCCTCCCAAAGAACCAAGCATCGATCATACATCATAAATCATACATTCTTCAACCCTCCACTATTGGTCATCGTGCGGATTCCGCAACCACCCTCACATGACTCTCATGCCGCATGCCCTTAAATACCGAATAGTAGACTCGGCTGCATTCCGAATACCCCCACAAACGCTTGAACTAGCACCTTATGCAAACATGAACGACTTAAAGACCTCCAGATTTTCTAGTCATATTTATTCATATATCATATATCATTTATATCAATTCATATCGTTTATAATTTTATAATCATTTATATCATATCATTTATACTATAGTAGTCTATAGTTCACAGCATACCGGAATCTGTATACTGTATACTGTACTGTATGCTATATACTTATATAACTTAAATAACTGATATTAATATAATACTTACAAGAAATTTATATGAACTACATGCCCAGAAATCATATGACACTTATGACTCCATATTATATGACAAAACACAATAGACAATAACGCTTTGCACAAGAATGGAACGTTTGTTTGTGCAAGGAAAACGGAATCTGGGTTGAATTTATTGGATTATGGAATACACAGTGCGAAGCAAACTCCATTTGACCGAAGCTGGTTCGGATTCTGCAATGATGCAGAAATAATCTCAGAATCTGGTCACTTATCAAGACCTCCGTGCTTCCGGGCATACATACGGCAATCAATTTTGCACCAGTTCGGCCAGTGTGGAGCGCAGCAGTGGTTCCCGTGCGAGCCTGTGTACAAAGGAGGTGGCAACCGCACTGGAAAAGATCCATGCCCAAGCCCTACTGCAACAGGTCTGACTGTCACGAGGCTGCAACTGTCAACATTGGCAATTTGATGACAGCTAGGGCAAGTCTCTGAGCGAATCAACGCAAACCACAAGCCACTAGCCTGTGAACACAACTGCCACGACTCCAGAACTAAAAAGCTTGTGTGCCTCGGGATGCCATGTTTCACAGACCGGCATGCTTTCGATAGCAAGCGTAGACCTTCTCGACAGCTCCTCAGCAAGAACAACCAGTATACAGTATACAGTTTACCATGATGCAGTATACAGAATAAGGAGTATGCAGTATAAAGTATATAGTCTACAGTATACAGTAGACATACAGCACGCACAACGACAAAAGGCTGTAGCGACGACAATGACGATCCTGTGGAAATACTAACTCACTTTTGCTTGCTACAGCTCTATAGTCTATAGCCAGCCTATAACGACTTTGACTTATAGAGTATAGACTATATATATATATATAGACTATTATACAATTATACAGTACTTACATACATACAGTACAAACTATATAGCTAGTCAGCTAGTTAGCTAAAATAGAACTAATCTGACATAGTCTGACATAGTCATAGTCGTAGTCATAGTCATATGAGTCATATGCGTCAGACTGTCAGACTCATAGTCATATTCACAATGTATAGTCTGTTCCTGCGTCTATGCTGCTATGCTGCCTAGGCCGCATACCGACGCTGCCGATGTCACCGATGTCTATGGTATGACCGTATGACCTATACTTAGGACTTACACTTGAACTTGTAACTTCTAAATTCTAAATTATGGGTCATGACTTAATGACCATGAAATGCCGGCCAATGCTTCGCTTCTTAAAAGATGCCTTGTGCATCTCGAAAACCGATATTCTGCAACGGAAGGCTTGAAACCTTCGTGCTCCCCCAGGGTGGAGCTCTACCTGCACCTATGGCTTCGTGGTCGTGATGCTTCGTCGTCTCAGACAAGAGACAATCAATGGATAATGGCGAGAGGATCGAAATTGAAATACCTGAAATAAGAAATGACCAAACTTAAACCGAGCTTAAACTATTGACAGTGGCACAGTGGCTAAGATTAAATGATATCCGATCTGGAAATGCCTGCAGCCTGTAGCCTTCTAGCAACGACACGGCAACGACATTGACTTTAGAACGAGCCAAACACACTGGTGAAGAGTTCGCAGCTAAAACCTAAAACCCGTCCTGCATGGTTGGGCACCGCCTTGAGGCTGCAGCTGGACTTCGGCACGTACCGGTTTCGATAGTGCAGGACCCAGGATTGCTTTTGTGCGTTAAAGTAGATGGCGTAGTGCTGGCGCAGCGGAAGCCTGCGAGCACAGTGCATCAGAATTGTTCAGAACAATCTTTCTTTTATAGTCTTTTGGAGTCTTTCGAATAAAAGATTCGTTCGCACGGGTGGAATCTGAACTGCGCATGTGTGTCTGTGTCCTGCTTACAGATCTATGATGAAGCTTTGCGAGTTTGCAGGCTTGCAACAGCAAGACAGTAAGACGACACCACCATGTGTGGCAATGTGGCAATACCGGCAATACCGACTTCTGACTATGATTGAATAGGATGCACAGCGCACAAAGATGACTGGCTATAATTGGCTGTCTAAAACTGTGACATCATAGAATCATAGCACATGACTCACATGACTCTGACGACATCACATGATCACATAACACTGGTGAAGAATTCACTGAGTCATTGACTCACTGGACATAAAATAAGTCACTTACTTGTGTGCACAGGCGCCTGGATCCGAGGATGCTCGCCAACAAAGCTTTATCCGTAGCTTGCTCGTGTGCCTTGTGTGCTTGTGGGCCATGATCAGCCCCATCCAACGACCCAGCCCCGGGAGGTTCTCCCGGTTCTCCCGATTCTCCCGGATCTCCGTCGTCGAAATCACTGTCTTCACTTGGGTCGTCGTCTCCATCCCCGCCGAAGAGCAAGTCGGCCTCGATGTCGGAATCCACGGACCGGTCGACACCTTTTTTTTCTCCCCTTCCTCGCTTGTTTGCCTTTGGATCCACAGGGTACACCGGTTCGCTGGGGAGCTTGGCTGACAGCTTGAGAAAGGGCGAATCAAAGAACTCAGCATCAACATCCTCGCTCGCAGGCTGCGCGCTGCTGGACGAAGCTGCAGCAGCCTGTTCAGGAACCTCAACAGCACCCAAGTGCTGCAACGTGCGAAGGACTGAAAAATTCTTCAAAGAACTCTGTCGATACTCCACCGTGTGAAAGGACCACTCCTCTGCTGCTTTCATTCGAAGCAACTGGAGGGCCAGTTCATGTTGGAAGAAAACATCACAAGAGTCACCATCCTTGAAACCTTCAGGCAGCTGCTGCAAGACCAATGTGTGAGGAATCTTGGCATCTCTACCGTGGAATGCCAAAGGACAGGAACGAACACTGTCCACCAGGGGAACAGCAAGCCATGCGTAGAGCATTCGCAGCGGCCTCTTCGTTCCTGACAATGGGCGATACTCAGACGAGCATTGTAACTAGTCACTGTGTCACAATTATCAATTGTCGCACTGTCAAAAACAAAAGGGTCTATGAGTCGGTGACTATGAGACTATAAGTCTGAAGACCTATGAAATATGAAATATGAAATATGAAGCTAGAGTCTGTAGTAGCAACAGCGCAGCAACACGGATGGGAAATGATGAAGCTGAAGCTCATTCATTAGCACTAGCTGTCACTAGCTCATCTTCTTTTGAGCACGGCAGCCAATGCGAGCGAGATTTGTGGGTACGTATAGTCGTGTGTGAGTTGCCTGACACTGTGCAGGGCTTCAAATGTCCAGCACATTATATGACATTCACGACTACATGATACGGTTGCATCCCTAACCCCCCCCCCACCCCCGCCTACGATGGCCTTGACATAGACC